ACACACACACACATACACACACAGACACACACACACACAGACATACACACATACACACAGACACACATACACACAGACAGACACACACACACACACACACGCACATGCAAACAGCCCTCTCCCCCTGTGGTTTTGTTTCTCAGGAACTCTAATGTGCATGGATTCATTTATTTAATCTACTCAACTGTCCCGTCTACCGCTATCTTCGCCTGTTTACACAAAAGGACACAGACGTACAAGGACGTTTAATAACATGTTCAGGATTACATGGACATCAAGGAGTGGGGCCAGGACTGGATTTAGCTCATTTAGCTCCAAATTAAGTATTCTGTATCATTATGGTGGCCTTCACGAATTCTACTGTACTATTTAACCTACATTTTAAAAGTCACTATCAGGCCTGGGAGGTGGCTTACTGGGCAGAAGGCTCACCACACAGGCTTGACGACCTCAGCTCTTCATTCCTGGAACCTATGCTGGAGGGAGAGAACTAACCTCCACAGTTGTCCTCTGACCTCCATACATATGCCCACATACATACTTTCCTTCTTACACATATGTGTGCACACACAATTCTTTTTTTTTTTTTTTTTTTGAGACAGGGTTTCTCTGTGTAGCCCTGGCTGTCCTGGAACTCACTCTGTAGACCAGGCTGGCCTCGAACTCAGAAATCCACCTGTCTCTGCCTCCCAAGTGCTGGGATTAAAGGCGTGTGCCACCACTGCCTGGCGCACACACAATTCTTAAAAGCTACTATTCTAGTGTCCTAATTTGGCTCCTGTTGCTTTACTAAAACACTTACTAGAAGCCATTTGGGGAGGAAAGGGTTTATTCCATCTCACAGATTATGTAGATGTAAAAGTCTGTCCCAAAGGGAAAAAAATCAAGGCAGAAGTAAAGGCAGTTCCTGGAGGCAGGAACTGAAGCAGAGGAAAGCCGTTTAGTGGCTTTCTCCCTATGGCTAATTCAACTTGCTTCTGTATACAATCCAGGACCACTTGCCCAATGGTGGCACTGCCCACAGTAGGCTGGGCCTTCCCTCATCAGTCATTAATCAAGAAAGTGTTCCACAGACTTGCCTACAGGCCAGTCTGACAGAAGCATTTTCTTAACTGAGGGTCCTTCTTCCAAGATGACTCTAGCTTACGTAAAGTTGACCCAAACTAACCAGCACACCTAGTCATAGCAACAATTGTGTAAAAGCTACTTGATTGGTTCCTGGCAACCCAGTGCAAGAGACTCACACCAGCCTGTAAATCCAGCCCCAGAAAAATCTGACACCCTCTTCTGGCTGTGAGGGGAACTGCACTCACATGTGCACATATACAGACATACGTATGTAAACATAGTTAAAAAATAACAATACCAGCTCTTGGGAGAGGGAAAGATGGCACAGAGGGTTGGAGCACTTGTTGCTCTTGCAGAAGTCCTGGGTTCAGACCCTAGCAACCAGATGGTGGCTCACAACAACCCACAACTCCAGTTCCGGGGGGGGGGGGCGGGGAATGATGCCCTCTTCTGGTTTTCAGGGGCTCCAAGCACATACTTACATACAGAAAAAAAAAACCCACTCATGCTTATAAAAATAAGATAATAAATCTAAAGAAAATCTTCAAAAGGTATTTATTTACATGTATATTTTATAAGCAACTGATTAAATCAATTACAAACAACCATAGCAAAGGCTCGCAGCTCTCGTCACTGGCCCTCTGCCCCGACACACTTAGGCTGAAGTGAACACACTAATGGAAAAGCGTTTCTGCGTCCTTGATCTATAGCAGCGTCTGCTCCTCAAGGCTATCACATGCATTTTAAGACACACGCTGGAAATCACACGCTTACAGGATATAGGAAAAGAAAACCACGTGAAGAAAACAAATCAGGAAGTGACTCTACCATCGAGAGATTGCAAGACTCAAAAGTCAATACAGCGTCCTTTCCGTTCCCAGTCTCCATAGCGCGTAGGCTCTGGGCCCCTGGGTCCACCTTTTTCCTTGGTAACTGGATTAACATCATCTGGAAACTCTAAGGAAGACAGAAATATGAAGAAGGCAGTCAGCAGAGCTGGAAGGAGACGACGCGGTCAGTTTTGAGGACAGGACTGTATAAGTGAAGTGTGAGTGCCTGGGTTATCACAGTCTTTCAAGGAACCGTAATGTGCCTCCTCCCTGTCTGCCCCCAGAACTTGAGAAACGCATTTTTCACATTCAATCATCTTTACCACTAACACTAATGACCCCCAATTCTTGGCATGCTTTCAAGTCTAGAAACTACTAGAGAGTAGCTTCCTAAGTGGTGCTGGACCCAACGGGAGGGAAAGATCGAGAACAGACTGCAGCTTCACTGAACTTGGAAGGTTTAGAAACAAGATCAGCATCTTCGTTTTCTTTCCAATAAGATGTGTGTGTTGGGGGGTGGGGTGGGGATCTCACTTGCCTTACAGTGTTGAACAGAACAGGGACATGTAAAGTGTCGTGCCTAGTGACAAGTGTGTACTGGTATTGACAGATTCTATCTGTGAGCATCCCTGCTGCTTAACGGGATTTTGGCTTCAGCAGATGGTTTTAGAAATATAAGATAAAATCATTGGTCCTAACACTGTGTGTTCATGGACTGGGGATACAGCTCAGTAATAGAATGCTTGTTTTCACACATGCTTGTATGCAGGCACGGACGCAGGCATGCACTGCATGTTCCTGATGGAAGTCCTCACTGTAAGGCCAGCCAAATTCTGAGAATTTTAGTTTTTTTCTTTTTCTTTTCTTTTCTCTTCTTTTCTCTTTCTTTTTTTAAAAACAGGGTCGGAGTGGGAAGACAGCATGAATGACACGGGACCCCACACCTGACACGGGCAGTCTGCAGAAAGCAGGCCCCATGGGCACCCAGAGGGGGCTCTCCACACTACCCCCCTCCCGCCCCCAACCACAGGCTTGGGAGCTGTGGTGGTGGGAGGGGTCATTGAGTCTGAGGGAGCCAGAAGTGGAGGAACCTGGAAGCCCTCCCAAACGGTGGGGAATTAGGGTTCAATTCCAGAGTGGGAGCCTGAGAAACATTTTTTTTTTCTTTTTTGAGACAGGGTTTCTCTGTATGGACCTGGGTGTTCTGGAACTCACTCCATAGACTGGGCTGGCTTTTAACTCACAGAGATCTGCCTGCCTCTGCCTCACAAGTGCTGGCATTTGCCACCAAACCCAGGCAAGGATTTTTAAATTTTGATTAATCAGTCAATTTGGTATTATTACTGTCTGGCATTAGAAGTCACTAATACTGGCCAGGTTGGTGTTAAATGCTGGGGTCAAACAATCTCTTCTGTTACAACCTGATTCTGGGCTTTCAGTTCTCAGGTCTTTAGACACAGTAAGTCACTCACTCCATGAAATAACCCCATGAGACAGGAAACAATACTGTCCCCGTGACACGGGTGTACAAAGTCGTTCAGTGTCACAGAGACTGAATGCTGAGACCCAGCCTGAAGGCAACCCACACGCCATATTGCTTTGTGTGCAGAAAGAACAGATGAAAAACCAGCCTCTGATCTTAAGTGGTATATTTTTGGAAAACTAAAAGATCACTCCCCCTAAACTATGCAGCCCCTCTGCAGACACACCAAAGAAGATACCGAATCTCACCTTGAAACTTTCCAAAGGTTTTGTGCATTTTTGCTGCACCGCGACTAAGTTTCCCTGCCCTTGGCATTGTTCTGTTTTCTGGAGATCATCTGTGATGTCCCTATGAACCCCTGTAGTGGAAGCTTGTCTGTATCCCCCATTCCTGGGGCTCTCTGAGTGTGATAGCCGGGAATGCTGAGGCAAGATACATAGCCTGTGAGAGACCTCTTCCTGACCTGTGGATTGTCCTTTCTTTCTGGGTCATCTCAGGGAAGGAGGGAGGCAGTGAGGTTTCCAGTATCTCTCAGAAGGGCACTGGTCTCACCACAAAGTCCTCACCCATATGATCTGAACCTAATTATCTCCAAATGGCCTCACATTTGGGGGTCAGGGCTTTAACAGCACTGGGAGAAAAAAAAAAAGGCTAAGCTGAGCTGGGTTTAGTGTGTGCTTGCAGCCCTGGCTATTCAGGAAATGAAGACGGGAGAAATTCTTGAGCCTAGTAATACCAGGTTAGTCTAGACTATGAGACCCTTACTACATGCACACACGCATGCACGCATGCACGCATGCACGCATGCACGCATGCACGCACGCACGCATGCACGCATGCACGCACGCACGCATGCACGCATGCACGCATGCACGCACGCACGCATGCACGCACGCACGCACGCACGCACGCACGCACGCATGCACGCACGCACGCATGCACGCACGCACGCATGCACGCACGCACGCACGCACTGTGATGCCCCTTCTCATTGCTGACCTCTATCACCAAACCTTGACGGCTTCTCTTCTGCTGGATCTCACACCACGTGTCTGCCCAATGCTTGCCTCTAGTGTGTGTAGCAACTCAGACTTTTCTACCTTGCCCCAAAGATGACTATCAGGATTATAGCTTCATCCACCGCTCCCCCAGCCCCACTCTTCATCAACATCCACACCAGGGACCATCGCACACTAAGGCAATGGAGGGTCACGTCACTTTGACTGCCACTGGACTTTCTTATGCCCGGAATGTTTCTTCTTTGACTCTCCCGTACTTGAGTTCTCTCTGCTGTGGGCACACTCTTCTCTTTTCTCATCTCTGCAGTGGTTTCATTTCTGTGCTTGTCATACCCACAAGTTTCCCGAATTTTCCTTCTTCTACTACCAGCTGCCTGCTCTCGTAACTTGCTAATCCACCTGTTTTCTACGTCTTACATCTCTAGCACACAGAAGATAAAGCATCTTTCTAAAGCAGGCCCTCTTGCACAGTAGACTGAGTGAAAGGCGTCAGACACGAAAGACCATATATTCTCTCATTTATCTAATCCTACGAAGAGCAAAGCGACAGGGGTTGGGGACAGATCAATGGGTGTAGGAAGAGGCAGGGATAAGGTTGATTGAAAAGACACAAAAGATCACCCTGTCATGTTAACCTCATGCTGTTTACATGACTGTAAACATCTGGGAAAACTCATGGACCTGCATACGTAAATCTCATTTTAATAAAAATGGTTAAATAATCCCCAGCCCAACATATTTTTAAAAATGTCACCACCACATGATGGTGCATGTCTTTAATCTGAGTACTTGGGAGGCAGAGTCGGGAGGATCTCTGTGAGCTGGAGGCCAGCCTGGTCTCTACAGGGAAGCTCCCGGTCAGCTAGCCAGGGAGACTCTAACCAAAATAAACAAACAATTCACCAAGAAGTCTTTCTTTCCTCCCTGAGGCAGGATGTCACGTAGCCCAGACTGCAAGCCTTCAACTTGTGACTCTGTTTCCATCTTCGTTACGTTTGCATCAGAGGCCTGTGCCATGATGTCATGTATGTGCTTGGAAGGTGGCCGGGCCTCTTCCAGTGACTCACCCCCACCTCCAAAGCCTCAGCACTTTCCTCACCGACCGTGCCCGGATTGAAAGGGTTTTAATTATATTGATTGCCTATGCTTGTGTATATGCGCGTTGTGGTTTGCGTGTGTGCGTACATGTGTGCTAGGGTATGAGCGTGGAGGTCAGAGGATGATATTCAGGAACTAGTTCTCTTCTACAGTGGAGTCCCTGGGACTGAATTTTTGAGGCTTTGTAGGAAGTTAAGTATCTTTATCCACTGAGATATCTTGCCGGCCCCTACCCTCAGATTTGACATAAAAAAGTCTGACATTCTATTATTTACCGCTTATACTTTATGCTGAGGCCAAATAGGCCAATTAGCCATGTCTGGCATGTGCCATGTTCTGTGGTCTCTCTGAACGGCCATACTTTCCTTTTTTTTTTTTTTTTTTTCAAGACAGGGTTTCTCTGTATAGTCCTGGCTGTCCTGGAACTTACTCTGTAGACCAGGCTGGCCTCGAACTCAGAAATCCGCCTGCCTCTGCCTCCCAAGTGCTGGGATTAAAGGCGTGCGCCACCACCGCCCGGTGTATCTCATCTTCTATTTACATTATTATTATTATTATTTTTTATCATGAGACAGAGTCTGGTAATGTATCCTATGTTGATCCAACAATCACTATACCATACCGGCAGCCTTCTGGGTGCCTGATTCCATGTGTGAGCCATCACGCCTGGCTCCTTTATCATCTCAGGAGTGACACATACATGCACTTTAGAACAGGACAGCCTAAAATTTTTCCTTAGTAGGAAACCAAGACTTGAAGGAAACAAGTTAGATATAGCTTGTTTTGGGGCTCTATGGGGAAGGAGTTTGAGGAGAGTTAAGGGAGAATCAAAGAGATTTGCCTTCTAACTGGCTACAGGAAACAGCGGGGCACTAATGACTGACCCTGGATGTTAGGCTTCTATGAACTGGAGAATCGAATCTACTGGAGAGAACAGAGGGAAACAGGCTGGCGGAGGAATAAAGGCAGGGTGAAAACAGGCACAGGGTACATTTAATTTTAGAAGCAGTCATTTTGAGATGTTCAGAACATGCACACATCGGACAGGACAACCGAGAAGCACATAGGAGATATGTAAAGTCGTCTGAGGAAGACGCGGGATCTTCTGAGAAATGCTTAGGGCAGATGTGGACGGAGGCCTTGCAAAACCCACATTCAGGTGTTGGCTCAAGACAAACGAGTTTGCAAACAGCCCCAGAAGAAACAGCAGAAGCAGTGGAGAAGATGAGAAACTGAACTGGAAATTTCCAGAAGCAGTGGGTGGCACTGCTTAAGGTTGTTGACTGTTCAAGGAAGGCTGAAAGGTTGTCTACTGGCACTGAGTGTTTGCCATTTTCCAAGGAACGCTGGTTTGAATGTGATCACCCGGCACTAACAAACAAAGATGTGCATATACGGATACATACTGCCTCTTGTCTGCACAGGCAGTCCCATCTCCTGACCTCTCTCTGACGGGTAAGACTTGATGCCTGGATGCCAGCACTAGGCTTTTAGAATCTCAGATTGTAAGCCAAAAATGAACCTCTTTCCTGCTTTTCATGTGCTCCTATTTCTGTAAGCCAGCCTCGTGGGACAGTTAATCTTGACTGTCAACTTGACAAGATGTAAAGTGGCCCAGGGGACACATCGCTGGGTGTTTCCACTGGGGAGTGAGCTTTTGGAGAGAAGGAGAGATCCACCCTAGATTTCCACCCCAAACCATGACTGAGATCTTGAGGAACGAAAAAGCTGTGCACCAGTATTTGCCTCTCTGTTTCCTGACAACAGATGCAATGTGACTGTCAACTCACGCTCCCGCCACCACGTCTTTCATCACCACAGGCTGCACCCTTTCTTAAACTGTGAGCCTAAACACACCCTTACTTCCTTTAGTGGCTTTTGTCAAGAATTACTTTCTAGCCATAAGAGAAAGCAACCGCTACACTCCTTTCCCATGCTTCTCCCGCCAATCCCAAACCATTCATGGACATGTCAATTACACAGAAGCATTTCATTGATCTATCAATGATAGGTGCTCTGTCTGAGGTGGACTGAGTTCTTAAAATGTCTCCTCATGAAAAGCCACCCAACACAATCAAAGAACAACAGGGCTGGAGCAATGGCTGGGAGAACCATAATCTGCTTCCTAGCATCGATGCAGGTGACTCATGACTATTTTGACTCCAGCTCCAGGGAATCCCATGGTTCTAGCTACATGCACATACCCACACAGAAAGAGATGTGCATGTACATATATGCATAATTAAAGTCATAAAAATAAAAAAAAGAAAAACAACGATGATGAATTATGTTTAGTCTAGTACTACACTTTAAAAAGCTCTTTATTTTGTTGTTTTTGTTTGTTTACTTTTGTTTTGTTTGAGACAGTGTAGCCCTGCCTGGCCTGGAACTTGCTGTGTAGACCAGGTTGGCCTTGAATTTAAGAGATTCACCGTGAGTGCTGCCTCCTGAGTGCTGGGATTAAAGGTATGCATGAACTCTGCCCTGCAAAACTATTTGTTAAAAACTACCCCGCCTCTGTCCTTAGCTACAATGTTACAGTGAGAACAACAGTGTTCAAGTATTTCCCATCTAAATGGTCACTCTGAAGGATTCAGCTGTGGATATCTGAGCCGAGCTTGCTTACAGGCTTTCTCCTGGGGGAGGAGCTTACAATCAGAAGTGAGAGGCGTCCCAGTGTGGCTGTCCTGGACTGACAGTAGCTAAGAAATGCTCCTTTCTGTCCAGCAGACAGATGACCGGGTATGAAGGAAGGTTATTAGAGTTAAGAGAATGAGAGATGTCTTCCCTTGGATTTGCAGTTCCCTGTCATTTTCTGAGGCCTAGCTTCTGAATTGTACCCTAGTGCCTCGGCTTTACCCTGTACATTCATGATGATCCTACTGCCGCTGATTCGTTTTCTTAACAGCTGAAAGTTTTCTCAACGAATGCAGGTTTGTTATTTGTATCAAAGAAGAGCTCATCTTAAATGCTTTACCTTTTGAATAATAAAAGTATAGTAAAAATAAACAAAATAAGCAACCCCTCCTCCACCCCAAACCAAGTCAGTACAAAAAACTTAGAAGCCCTTTCTTTGAGACAGTCAGTGTGTTGCCGGGGCTGGCCTCACATTCCTGATTCTCTGGCATCTGCTTCCTGAGCGCTGGTATTGCAGACATGTGCCACCATTTCTAGCTCTAGAAGGACAATTTTTGGGAGGTTATGTGTGGACATGTGTACGTACATGTGTATGCATGTTTGATGAATGTGTGCTCTTGTGTGTGTGCACCCATGTGCTTGTATGCATATGTGCATGCTGAGATCAGAGACTGACTTCAGGTGTCTCCTTCACTGTTCTCGACCTTAGACATTGAAGCAAGGTCTCTCATTTGAGCCCAGAGGTGGTCAATTTAGCTAGTCTAGGTAGCCAACTTGCCCCAGGAATCCCCTGTATCTTCTGAGTATGAAATTACAGTGGGTTGTCCTAGCCGCCAGCACAAGGGTGACAGGATCTGAACTCTCTCGCTCTCATGGAATGTCCTGTAAGTACTTCATGCACTGTGGCATCTCACCAATCTAAAATTTTTTTTAAAGAAGTAACAACCATTCATACAGATATTCCGTATGGTATTTTTACTCACTAAATATCCTTTATAACTGTTAATAACAATTATGAGCACAGTTTGCTTCTTTTACCTTTTCCAGTAACGAACATTGACCTTGCCAAGCTAAGCACTGACAGCGGTTTACTAGCCACTACTCACTCTGCAGTGGGTCTCTCTCCTCGGACGAGTCCTCCAGTGAGTCAAAACGACCGACTGGCAGCTTTGACTTCTTAAGGGCTTGCTTCGCAGGCTCAGGCTTTCCTTCTTGATAACTCATCTTCATCAAAGAATGATTCAGAAGAGATGATCCTAATGGAGAAAGAAGGACAAAGGCATACAGCAAAAATTCTTCTCTGCGCACCTACACTCTACATGGGTAGGATATTTCCCTTTCTGGGAGACAACCAGTGTTACAAGTTTACAAGAAGAGCTATAAAGTAACCAGACAGGCAAGCATAGGGGATAGTTTAGTAACCTCGGACTCCACCTGTTTTGGACTATGCACAGGGTCTTCTTCTAATAATGTACTTGGCAGCTTAGTTTCCTTACTTGTATATACTTGCACACACACCTCTTTCCAAGAGATGCACCTAACAACCTCTTAGCGACATAAGACACCCCAAAACACCAGGATGCATGTATGTCCCTCTTCAAACAATTGGATTTTTCTCCTTTCTCATTAACAACAAACATAGACAGATTCTATTCAGTTGTACTCTCCTCATGTTCTAATACAGGGCCAGAAAGGCACATCTGGTCTACACTGGGTTTGGGTGTTTACTCAGTAATATAAACTAAGCCAAAAAAGTGTATTGTTTTTTAAAGGAAAATCTTTTATTTACCATCTTCTGCCTATTTTGGCAAGTGTATGATTGAAGTCAGATGCATTATGAGAAGGAACATACACAGAAAATAATAAAGCTGCCTAGAATATCAATCAAAACGAGAACCGCCCAAGCTATGCACCTTACTGACCATACTTCTCTTCCTGTAGACTTTATAAAAGACCAGAGGCAACCAATTCAGGCCTTCTGGATTGTGGCCTACTGATCTCCTGCAGTGCAAGGATTTAAATAAAGTGTCCTCGATACTTTACAATTAGTGTGGGATTTTTTTTTCAATTCCTTGATTAAGGAAACACCAGGTTTGCCCCAACCCTGACAGCAGAATCAATAAAACAGCATCCATTAGGGACTCACATCTTGTGCTGTGGCCTGGGGAAACACACCAGCAGGTGTAGCAGCCTATACTGATGTTTTTACAATTGTCCAAGTATCCACAAGGAGAATGAGAACGTATCACACATGGATGAAAGGTAAGACTTCACATTTCAGTGTGGGGCGATCTTGAATTATGAGTGGTTACAAAAAGCAATGAACACAAACAGCATCAAATCATCACCATGAAGAAAACAGCATACAGGCACTTCATGGAAATGGTCTATCACATTGGAAAACGGGTTCATTAATGTTTCTTTTAAAAACAGTGTTTAAAAACAGTGGAATGCTGGATAAACAGTAATAAGGATTTGGAGCGAGCCTTTCGGTTTCTATAATTTTCACAGATTATTTAAGATTTTAACAGACAACAGGTATTAAGTATTTGAAGGGAAATTCACTAAAAAGTAAAATAAAAATCAGGCCACTTGTTATGAAAGCAGTAGTTTTGTCTTCAGTTTACATAACTTCTCAGGGTTATCATCAATTAAACTTGCATTCTGCGTGCTCTTTGGGATGATAATTGAGAGATATATTGAGGAAAAAATGCAACAGTTTTGAAAACGTTAGTTTCTACAGAAAGACGAGGGCATCTCTTCTAACAGTTCTTGGCTTTGTGCAATTTTAATTTTATGTTCTTCGCACTACGTTTTGCACTTCCCGAACATTTGGACCAGGCTGACCTTGAACTCAGAGATCCTCATGCCTCTGCCAGCCTAGTGCTGGGTCTATAGGCATGCGCCCCCTGCCCTGGTACAAATTATTCTTGATGTAAACAAACAAGTAAATTAATGACACTAATCTCTTCCATACTTCTCTAGCCGCATCTAAGAGCGAGGCGCTTCTCGAAAACCACCCGCCAAGCACCGCGAATGCTTCTGCAGCCATCGCGGCCGGGTCTCCGCGCCTGCACTCTCGGAACTCGGTTTCCCCCGCAGGCCCCCAACTCTCGGGACCCCGGGCGGATTGCCTTACTTGTTACTCTCCATACCAGAGCCGCCCGTGACACGGAAAGCACCGTAGAAACCATAGCGCCGGCTCCCACAGCGTCTGCGCACGCGCACCCAGGTGGGCGGGGCTAGCGCCGCTCCACACAGGGAACCCGCGCCGTCTGCGCAAGCGTCAATGAGGGCAGAGTAGGGCGGAGCTTCGCTGTGTCCCTGGCCACCCTGCTCATCTGCTCAACTGCCTCGGGTAATCCTGCAATGGCCAGTCCTCAACCTTGGTCCTGCACAGTACCTGGGGAACGCTTTTAGCTATTCAGATGGACTTAAAAGACAAAACCGAAAGCCAGCACCACCCTACTGTATGGTGCCTGGAGGATTAAAGGAGGGAAGTTCAAAGTCCAACACAGATGGAAACTTTGAATCACCCTAATTTGATCATTACGGACATGTATTAATACCGTGTGTGTGTTCACTAAATACTAATGACTTTTAAAAGTTTGGCAGGGGCTGGAGAGATGGCTCAGTGGTTAAGAGCACTGACTGCTCTTCCAGAGGTCCTGAGTTCAATTCCCAGCAACCACATGGTGGCTCACAACCATCTATAATGAGATCTGATGACCTCTACTGGTGTGTCTGAAGAAAGCGACAGTGTACTCAAATAAAATAAATAAATCTTTAAAAAAAAAAAAAGTTTGGCAGATTTCATAGGCGTGCCAAAGAATTGCTCCATAAACCTGTAGTTAAAATACCAAACATAAAACATTCAAGATCCCCACAGTTTGAAAACAAATTTTTAGTAAGTTCAAAATATTCAGTCATGTGGATTGATTATTGAGACTATTCCATGACAGGGATCTGTTAGAAATGATTTAAAAACACTGCGGGGCTGGAGAGATGGCTTCTCTTTCAGAGGACCTGTGTTCTCTTCCTAGCATCCACATGGCAACTAGTAAGTTTCTAACTCCAGTTCCTGAATGTCTGACACATTCTTCTGGATTTTGTTGGCACTAGGCATGCACATGACATGCAAACGTGCAAGCATGCATACAAACATATAAACATTGCAAACATACATATGCCATGCCAGCAAAACACTCATATAAAATACAAATAATTGTTTAGTTTTTTTTTTTTTTTTTTTTTAGTTTTTTTCCGAGACAGGGTTTCTCTGTGTATCCCTGGCTGTCCTGGAACTCACTCTGTAAACCAGGCTGGTCTTGAACTCAGAAATCCGCCTGCCTCTGCCTCCCAAGTGCTGGGATTAAAGGCGTGTGCCACCACTGCCCGGCAAAAATAAATCTTAAAAATATTGAGCTTAAAGCCTTTTAAATATGACAATTAAAAGTTTTCCCCATTACTAGAAAACAAAACAAACCCATAGCTGGTTAGTTGAGTAATCTATTAAATCCCTGTCTTGCAGTCAAAAGTGCTGACTACCAAGAACAGCTTGATCACCGCGCCTTCTTCTTAGCACAGCTGTGCAACTCAGTGGATCCACTAATACAATAGCCATAGTGGTAAGAAGAAAGACACCTATGTACATGTAACTGTCTTTCTCCTCCTAGGACTGACTGACAGGCTAGCACCACTACTTAGCAATTCTAATGACTGACTTGACCTGTGCCTTTCTTCACTGGAGTGGTTTTTTGTTGTTGGTGGTGGTGGTTGGTTTTTTATTAATGTAGGAGTGCTGTCTACATGTACATCTGCATGCCAGAAGAGGGCATCAAATCCCTTTATAGACAGTCCTGAGCCACCATGTGGTTACTAGGAATGGAACTAAGGTCCCCTGGAAGAGCAGCCGGAACTCCTAACTGCTGAGCCATCTCACCAGCCTCCAACCTGTACTATAGTATTAAGCAGCCTGGGAGACAAGTCTGACTTCAAGAGAATCTATTTGATTATCCAGTTATGAAGAAGGCAGCAATTTGCTCTTAAATAGTTATGTTTGAACTATGTTAGTTTACAGGAGATTCCACTAGACTCCTCCCAGGGACCTAGCAAGAACTTGTCTTCACCTGCTGCTACCAGGTTCCCAGCTCTCTGTTCTCTGTTCTCTTCCACCTTTGTCCTTCTCTGCACCCCATCCTCTTCTCTGCCCTCATGGCTCTGCTCCTACAATGTCTGCCTGTCTACACATCTACTCTTCTGCCTCTACCAGGTCCTCAATCCCCTCCTTTACTCTAAATAAACCCCCTTTATAGAAGATCTGTTGTATGGTATAAATTCTCAGGCACACACTTTGGCATGTGCCCACCAGGTACGCCTTTACTGCATTATATTTCATAACAAACTGTTTTCTTGATTTATCTCTCATTTCATACAGTTCATCTGTGGTCTTAATGGACGCTTTGTACTGTATAAAGTGTCCCACACAACATTATCAAAAGAACTTTTCCCTATGGATGTAAATCAGGGGACTGCTATCGGAGGATCCACCGATCTTATCAATTATTCCATCTTCCTGATACTGGCCTTACAGGATGATGGACAGTTCTAGAGGTTGGGTTTGGGAACCAGTACCAAGTTAGTGGACTGTTTTGGGAGGGATTAGGAGGGGTAGCTTTTTCGAAAGAGGTTGTCACTGGGAGTGGCCTTGAGATTTCAAAAGCCAATGCCAAGCTCAGGACGTGGATCAGGATGTAAAGAGAAATAAAATAAATGTTATTTTTGAGTCTGAGGAGCAATAAAGCACCAAGAAATGTCATGTTGGAGCCAAGCCCTGTACTCATGCAGATAAAAAACCTAAAAGCCCTGATTCAAAATGGAATAAAAGAAACACCTTTGCATCTCACCCAGCAAGCTCCCAACTTGTGAAAAGGAACAAAAGCAAAGTTTAAGCAACAAAGAAAATCATCAATGAAAAGTTTTTGCAAATATAATTTAGGGAGGGGCCAGGTTCCAGCCCTAAACAGCAGAACTTGGCAATTTGGGTCCTGTGGTTCTGGTATTGGCATCTAGAGGATACAGAAAACAGATTATGGTATCTTCCTCCACAATTAAAATGCTAGGCTTGTAGCAGGGGAGTCTGGGTATGGAGGTACCAGAGACCAGCCATCTGGGGAAGCTGTGAGGGCGAAGCCTGGATTGCCTTGGAGATCCCAGAGCTGTGGAATACCTGTCAAGAAAGCTGTAGAATCAGCCCAAGAGCATATATTACAGTCAGCAAGGATGGAGGGGAAGAGGAGTCATCTAAGTCTTTTGCCATAGGAATATATGATATGGAGTGTGCTCTGCCTCTTTACTGTCCATCTTGTCCTCTGTAGAATGGGAATGCATACTGTGTGCCACTGTATGCTGGAGTATGATTTGCTTTTTGCTTTTATATGGCGGTTAAGAGATTTCCTTGAGACTCAGGAGACATTGATTTTGAAACAGTATTAAAACTGAAAGACTTTTAAAGTTGAACAGAATACTTTTTTCATTATATGGCTAAAAGCCTACAGGGGTCAGTGAGTGAAACATGGTGGTTTGAATGAGAATGGCCCCACCCATAGGCTTGTATATCTTAATGTCTAGTCCCTAGGTGGTAGAGCCGTTTTGGGAAGGATTTGGATGTGTGGTCTTGCCAAAGGAGGTGTTACTGGGGGTGGGCTCTGATTCAAAAGCTCGTGCCAGATTCAGCACCAGGCCTGTCTGCTTCCTGCCATGATGATCACAGACTAGCTAACCCAAACTGTTAAGCAAGTTCCCAAGTAAATGTTTTCTTTTTTAAGTAATATTTTGGCCATGATATCTTGTCAAAGCACAAGAACAGTAACTAAGACACTGTTATTGTATATAGAAGTGATGGTTCTGAACCTAACTGTTAGACTGATCACTAAAGAAGCAAATGATACCCAAAGTGAATAGCAGAGATCAAGTGAGGATACACTTTACATGCTTAACTGATCTGGGTTTGGTATGCAATTGGTATCATTCTGTCTTTTCTTAGAGATGAGGTCTAAATGACTGTCTTAAATCAAAGAATTTGTCCAAGATCCTACATCTACAGAGAGGTCAGTTTATGCTAGGACTCAGGATCAACCTGCTTTGCAAATTTAAACACCTTCCTTGGACCACACCACTCATGCAGTACCTATAGAAATTCTAGGCGTTAAAAAGTGAGATGAGAAGCATGATTCTTTTTAGATTTGCCCATTTCCTACTTTGGAAACTCAGGGTGAGATATATTTGCTGTCTTCCATGACCGTAGCACATGACTACAAAACATCACCCCGGTCAGCTGGGCATTCCCAGCAGACTCTGAATCCTGAGGGAGGATTTGAAAGCCAGTCTCCACAGGTTCTTTGCCAGCAAGTCCACACATCTTCCTTCACTCTTCTCATGGTCAGATGACATTTGAACAGCATTTTCCTCTGGCTGTTGTCCTCCAATCTGTTCTCTAGCTTTTTTATCCATTCCTTGACAGACCTGCTATTCTTCCAATACATCCTTTTATTCTGTGTAAGTGAATCGTAACTATTCACTGTTTCCAACCAAGAATCAGTATACACTGATGAGGTTCACTCTAAGAGCAATTGTGCCATGTAAGATAATCATGTTCCCTCTCTTTCAGAATATCACTTTATGGAGGTAATTGATATATGAAAACTTTCCTAATAAATAAGAAATTAAGCATTAGATTTTAAAGCACAATCACTTAAAACAACATGGAAATGAACAAGAGCCAATTAACTATGATCCTAGGAGCTTTCCTTAAGAATGACTTATATTATTATGAATGAGGCCTCTGTCAAGTCAGAAGATGTTTAAATTTAAAAGATCAACTATCCTACCTATCCAAAGATAAAAAATATGTAGCAAAATATATGGTTGATAATGAATGCACTTATGTTTTTCAGCTACAAATTTGGTAAACTATTGCTTTGTTCAGTTCATAAAAATCTTGAATAATTTTTAAAAAGTAAATAATTATCAAAAAAATCATCGATGAAACTCTTTTAAGAACTTGGTATATATCAAAGATTACAATATCTGGTTATGGATGACATCACAGGCAGCCATTTATCACTTGATGATGAGAACACATTCTCAGAAGAGATCTGGGTGCCGTGCAGCATCAGGATGTGCTCACAGACTTACAACACACTAGCCCATGACACC